AGCATCATATTAAGACATGGACACTTGATGATCTGTCAATAATTTTGGGTTTTGTCCTACCTGCTTGCCTAGCTGCATTTATATATGACAACTCTCGTCCCAAATACTGATACACCTGGATCACCTGATTCACCTGGATCAAACTCTGCAACAAACATGTTAAAAAAAAAAAGATTAGAAACACAAGGACTCTGGGATATTTTATTATTACCTCTAAAGGACAAGAACAACTTTAATGGAGTTAAAAAGTTTCAAGGTAATGTTTTTTTAAACACCATACATGCAAAATATTTCTTGGATATTTTACAATCGCAATAATAACATATTATTACATACACTGTATTTATGTAGTTTCTATTAAAATTTCAAACCTTTTTGATCAAATTCAGATGGCTACAAAATTGCAATAAAAAATTGTGTTTGTCCTTTAATGTGTGTTGCTAGCAACCACAAAGAATGAGAGCATGTGATATAATAAAACAGAATTTGAAAACAATAGCACAATTAACAAAAATCTTGGTCCCACTGTATATTGTCCCTAATACCTGTGTACTTAGTAACTAAATGTGTACGTAGTATGTAACCACAGTGTAAGTACACATTGGTACATAGTATCTACAATACTATAATGTAATATCTCTGTAACTACATTGTAACAACCCTCAGGATGATTTGTGTAAGTACAAATGTGTAACAGGACATTGGTAACAACACTTTTTTCACTTCACTAAGTACTCGTGTAACAGGAATTATATAACTACATTTTGTAACAACAATATGTATAAGAGTAATTGGAACCATTTGATCCAGGGGGTGGAGATGGGTAGGTTTAGGGATATGTAAAGTGGGAGGAGTTGGATCTCGAGTTGGAGTAGGTGCACCACTGACAGGTATTAGGGACACTTAATATAAAGTGGGACCAAAAGCATGTATGTTAAACAACTGATATGCATAATTTTTATTTATTTTTTTTTGAATGAGCAGCAACTGCAACCAGGAGATAATGCAGATACACAGATTAACTCAAAAAGTCAACAACGTGAAAAAGAACCAAGTATACTAGTATTTCATAACATATATTTTTATTTAGCTAATAATTCTGTAGAAACAAATACATATATTATATATATAGTATACATATAGTATATTAAGCAGGCAGGCATGAAGAAAAACGTTAAAAGACTCTTCACATGCTTAAAAAAATACTGTTCCCTTTTGAACGTTCACTTCACGTTGTGTATGGGGAAAACTCCTGTTTTACTCTGTACTGAAGCCAGATTTGTTCACGTTTGTGTAGCTGCACAAACCAATGACGCTTTAGCCCGCCAGAAAGGGCGAAGCTGACGTGTATATAAGTCGGCTCGCAGCGCCATTTCATCAGATCATTCTCCTTCCGCGACGAGGATCATCTCTTCGCTGACTCTGGAAGAAGCAAAGAAGAAGCAGAGGAAGAAGAAGACGCCCAAGCAGTGAGGATTCCCTGCGGCCATCCAGCGCGTGAAGAGCAAGAGCAAATTTCCTAAAGACCAAATTTCAGCGTAGAGGATCTGGGCCTCGAGTGGTCGGCTCCAGAAGAGCATGCCCACGGCCTGTTAGACGAGTGGTACCTGCCGGGAAGCCATCAACAGTCCTCTTGCCAACGCCCCGCCCCGTTGCTGCCTGCAGTTCATGACGAGGTGCACCCCCTACTTGGCCCGAGTAAATCCCTCTACAGCAGCGGCTCTCATCACCGTTGATGGCGCTGACGACAAGGGATACAGCAAGCTCCCCCCACTGGAGGAAGCAGTTGCTGCTCATCTGTGCCCGCCATCTGCCCTCGGATTGAAGGCCCACACAGCGCATCCCTCTAAGCCCTGCAGGACCAACTCGGCGCTCGCCAATAGGGCTTATGCAGCGGCCGGCCAGGCCGGGTCGGCTCTGCATACAATGGCAGTTCTCCAAGTGTTTCGAGCCAAGCTTCTCCGCAGTATGGACGAGTCTGGCCAAGAACACCAGCAGGCTTTCAAAGAGCTGTGCACAGCAACAGACCTGGCTCTGCGCGCCACGAAAGCAACGGCGCAGGTGATCGGCAAGACCATGGCCAGTTTGCTGGTGCTGGAGCGCCACCTCTGGTTAAACCTCACTGAGATCAGGGACGCTGAGAAGATGGCTTTCCTCGACTCACTGGTCTCGCCGAAGCACCTGTTCAGCCCCGCTGTGGACGGGTTTGCAGAAAGGTTTTCGGAGGCTCAGAAGACGTCGCAGGCGCTGCATCACTTCCTCCCCAAGCGCTCTGGCCCCACGGCTGCGAGCCACCAGAAGAATCCCACCTCTCAGCCTGCAAAGCCAGCGCAGCCTCAGTGGAAATCTGAGCCTGGGCTGCAGCAGCGCCACCGGACGGCAAAACGCTTCCCCTTTCCGAAGCGTTAAGGTCCCCGCCCACGAGTTATGCTGGCCCCCGAGCCGCCTAAACCACCCTAATGCACTAGAGAGGAAGAGGAGGGGCTCTGTTCTAGCCTCGGCCGGAACGCCCCACAAAACAGCTCGCGTTCATCCTCCATCCCTCCGAGCACCTCTGAGCAATGGAGCAATAGCTCGTCGCCTCCTTTTTGGGCACAGAAAGAACTCGTCTTGTTAAGGGTGGTTCATGTGCTGGGCAGATTGAACCTTGGCGCAGACATGCTGTCCAGAGGCAAGGTAGCCCCGGGCGAATGGGCGCTACACCCTCAAATGGTTCTAGAGATCTGGTCAGTCTTCGGGAGGGCAGAGGTCGACCTCTTTGCCTCAGAAGACAACTCTCACTGCCCAACATACTTCTCGATACAGCAAGATGCTCTGGCCCAAGATTGGCCCAGTGCTCGCCTATATGCGTTTCCCCCAATCGCCCTGATTACTCAGGTCATCAGGCGGGTCAGGGAGACCAAGTGCTCTCTCCTCCTAGTGGCCCCGCTCTGGAGGAACCAGGCCTGGTTCCCAGAGCAAGTGCAGCTCTCAGAAGCAGCCCTGTGGCCCATTCCGCTGAGGAGGAACCTTCTCTCACAGGCGAAAGGCATGATTTGATCATCCCCGGCCGGAGCTATGGAGCCTTCATGTATGGTGCCTCAAAGGGAGCTTAATCAGCTCCCAGCGAGAGTAAGCAATACAATTTTGGAGGCAAGAGTGCAATCTACAAGACGGCTTTACAGCCTAAAATGGTCGGTTTTCCTTAACTGGTGTTCTGCATGAAGTGTGGACCCAATATCATGTGACGTGTTCCACGTGCTAACCTTTTTGTAAGAGCTGCTGGATAAGGGGCGCGCCCCCTCCACGCTCAAAGTATATGTGGCAGCTATCGCAGCGAACCATTCTCTCGAAGCTGGCCAATCGATCGGCAGAAACGACCTGATCGTTAAGTTCCTGAAGGGTCCCTCCTCCTTGCCTTGGCGTCGGTTAAGCGAGTGGGTGACTTGAAAGCGCTGTCAATAAGTGCCTCATGTCTTGAGTTTGGGCCTAATGACTGTAAAGTCATTCTAAAACCAAGACATGGTTATGTTCCTAAAGTGCTCTCAACTCCGTTCAGAGCTCAGGTGATCTCTCTATTGGCGCTCCCCATTACAGATGGTGAGCAGGGTCTGAACATGCTCTGTCCAGTAAGGGCTCTGAGAGTATATCTAGAGCATTTTAGCCTGTTTAGGCAGTCTGAGCAGCTTTTCGTTTGCTGCTGGATTGTCGATTCGATAGCCTTGGCTTACGCCTCAGAAGGCTTGCAATGCCCTATAGGTTTGAGGCATTCCACAAGAGGGATGGCCTCCTCCTGGGCGTGGTCTAGTGGAATTTCTATTGGTGAGATCTGTGCGGCCGCCGGCTGGTTGTCGCCGTCCACATTTGCCAGATTTTATAACTTAGAAGTCCCTGCTTTACAGGTGCGAGTTCTGTCTGTTTAATGTTCCACTCTTTCCCCTTTACACAATGTGAAGTGAACGTTCGAAAGGGAACGCTCCGGTTACTGACGTAACCTTGGTTCCCTGAGATAAGGGAACGAGCATGGTGTCACTTGCCGTGCTATAAGCTGCATGCAAATCGATGACTGTCGCTTCAGTCGAATGATCTGATGAAATGGCGTTGCGAGCCGACTTATATACTCTGCCCTTTCTGGCTGGCTAAAGCGCCATTGGTTTGTGCAGCTTCACAAACATGAACAAATCAGGCTTCAGTACAGAGTAAAACAGGAGTTTTCCCCATACACAATGCTCGTTCGCTTATCTCAGGGAACCGAGGTTACGTCAGTAACCGGAGCATTTGTATAAGCTCATATAAAATAATCGTTTAGTTATCATTTATGTGCTTTTCAGTCTTCAAATCATTGTTCTGTTTAGCTATTAACCACTCCTTCTAGTTAATCTGTGATCTTACATTTAATTTGTTTCTTTTAGCTCCTGTCATTGCTAATGCTGTAGTATTATGGTGAAGAGCAGGAGTCAAACTTGGTTTGAGGAGATATTTGCAGTGTAAATTGCAGGCAAATTTTAATTAAAGTTTGCAGCAGGTTTTTTTTGTAAGTCTTTTTAAAACTTTTGGAGCAATTGGAAGTAAAATCAGAAAAATATGAATTTTACTCATATTGCTGACATGAATAACTGTATGCTTTCAGTCAGCACTCACTGGCAAATTATCAATTATGAAATAAACAAGTCTCATTCCACTCTGGCATGGGCACATATGGTTAGTGTGTGTTCACTGAGCTTCACAGCTTTTAATATTTAGCTAGTCATTAAAAAATAAATGCTTCTGATAGACAACCTTTGCACCACAAACAGAGCTTGATTCCCCTTTCACATTTGTCTGAAACCTGATTAACACTGGCCAACTACCAAATAGACCTGCAAACATAGAATTACAGAAACAACTTTTAAATAACAACAAGTGAATTATAGTAGGAGTTGTGTAACATAAATTTAGTAACTTTAATATGTAAAATGCTGGAAAAAGTAGTTAATATTTTGTCTTGATAAAAAAAAAAGAAAAGAAAGAAAACAGCGGGCTACATATTTTGTTTGTTGTTTGAAGATGTTTCTCCATCCATCCATGTTGTTTTGGGTCAGGACATCACATACTTTTTCTTTTCTTTTTATTTTATCTCCACACTTTCTTCAGATGCTGAAAATGAAATACAGTTTTTAGTGAATGCTCATGAGAAATTACAGCTTATTGTATGAATTTTACTATACACAATAAAGCTGGAAGTCTTTAGTCAGTAGCTTGAATCTAGCAGTAAAACATCAGCAAAATGTGAAGAACACAGCATATTTTTTTTAATATAACAATAAAACTAATATAAAAGTGTTATGCAGATAAGTGGACATGTAATGTCATCTAATCAAGCCAGATGTCAGTATGGCTTTTTAGACATGCACTGATAACATGCCAAATTAAACAGAAAATACAATGTAGAAACGGGACTGAACCTGAAATATTGGATCAGAAAAAGATGTGCTTTATTTGGAGGATGGGATGGGAAATTAAATGCAACATGTTCACACAGGAAAGCAGCGTTTTTTTGTTCCAAATGTTATTAGATGCCAGACAGTGTGTACAGGTTTGCACAAGTACCTCCACAGGACGAGTGTCAGTTTTGCCACGAAGATTCCCTGCACTGGGAATCTTGTCACGTCACATGCAAGACAACCTGCTACACTTCCAAAAAAGTAAGTAAAATAACGCTGTTATGGTCTCTGTACTGTTTGGGCTTGAGTTAGAAGTAAAGTTTCTTAACATTGCTTTCATGTCACATGTGTTCGAGGAAGTTCTTGTGTTACAGTGTGACAAATCTTCTATTTTAGCACAGATATCTGTTACATCATATAAGATGCCAACATGGACTGGTTGTGTGACATTCCACCTTCCTCAGAAAACATGAACAAAATAACTCAAAGTAAAAGACCCAGATTACAGTAAATAGCCAGGATCACATGTAATGAGGAAAAACATGGTCTTGTGGCATCAGTGTTTTCTGTTGGCAATTAAAGTAGAAACAATCAGAACTTATATTCATTAACAAATAAGGTAGTAACTTAAAAATACTTACTAGGAGTAGAATAACCACTTATATAGGAATCTAAACACCAAATAAAATTAACAAATTAAAATTAAAAACTTTAAAAAATAATAGTTTTTTTTTTAAACAAGATAATATTATATATATATAAAGCCTTAAAGGAATTCAGTTGCTGACCTACCTGAAGGTTGTCTTTTCCATGCAGTTATAGCTGCTGCAGCCCCAAACGCCAACATCAGAGCCAAAACTGTCAGAACTGAAGGAATCACTGATTTAAATGGTTCCCCGTGATCAAACTCTGAAACATCAACCGCAGACTGAGAGACTAACTTCATTTTTATTTTGATTATTTGATTATATTTCTTGTACAACCTCATCATTACCCAAAGTGACGTCCAGTTTGTTGTCCAGACTGAGGTGTGTGGCAGAGCAGGTGTATTTGTGTTTGTCTGCAGCTCTGATCTCCAGACTCTTCCTCATCTGGTACGTCCCGTCACCATTGGGCAGCAGATCTCCTCCAGTGATCTCATGATCAGATACAAGCTGCCCGTCTCTGAACAGGGTCAGATTTATGTGACGAGGGTAAAATCCTGTTGCCAAACAACTCACACGAAACCCTCCAGAATCTGAGTTTTTCTGAATGAGTCTGATTCTGGGTTTCACTTTAGAGCAAATAAACAATAAAACAAAACATATTAAAATAAAATAAAGCAGTAAACTCTTTTTACCCATAAATGTTACAATCTAATAACAGTATTCCACAATACTAGTTTTCTACACTATGGTATTCTTAGTGTGTATTGAAAGGCATGGAGGGAAACACAGATGATTACCTTTCCTCTTCCCTTGAGTTTGTCTCTTTTTTAGGTACTTCCTGAGACTCATTGTGCAGCGTGGGTAATGTATAGTCGAATGACGCCATTTATACATTTCTAGATGTAGTTGTGTCACTTTTTCTATGCCTTGAAATGTTATTGTGCCATCAAAAAAACGCATTTCATCTGTTGTGGAGCCTTCAAAAGCAATCTTAGTGATCAATTGCCCAGGTTTATCATTTTCCAACACTTCACACAGACTCAGCATCTGATAAACTACAGGACCTGTTAAGATTGAGAAGAATCTCAGATGTCAAAACAGTCTCCAGCAACTTATTTCATGTCCCACTGTCCTCATGACTCAGGATCAGTAAAAGGTCTGACTCTGGTCTTATTTCTGACTCTGAACAAAAACCAACAAAATATTTAACATTTCAGTTTGTTCATGGCTTTATTACAACTTAACTTTTATTTATTCTGATTTAAGAAACAAGATACATATATTTATGCTTGCATTACCTTCTGTTTTGTTCTCAAACCTTCTTGTTAGTCTCCCCAAAATAAAAGGTTCCAAATATTCCTTTATGTTATAACTTATGAAATCAACCTCCTCGTCTTCGTTTGTAGTATTTCCCCTTGGAATATAGCTGTTTGTCTCTGAATCGTAGTATCCAACTGCAATGTCATCCAGTATATATAGGACACTAAATGTAGGAAATGGCGTTTCTCCTTCAATGTAAGTAGCAAGGAACCGCAAGGAGTGAGAACCTGTGAGAAACAGTAACAAGAAAAGTCATTTTCATGTGCAATCAAACAGTCAGCATGTTGAGATCCTACAATAAAACTGAAACAATAATAATATTTTGTACATGTTTAAAATGAACATATGTACAAATTAAAAAACACAACAACCTGTACTGCAACTGATTCTGAAACAAAGCCTATGAAATCCAACCTGTAAAAACAGCTGTTGGAAATGACAGCACACACAGGAAAACTAAAAACTTCATGTTGTTCTCAAAGATAGTAAAATCATGTCCTTCTCTGCAGACATATTCAGTAAAGGTGCCAGGTGACAAAGTTGCAACAAGTCAAACAAGTTGTATGTTGTATTTCCTGGAACCACCTCAGTTAACATGAGAGTCATGTCAGAAATGTTTATGTCAGCCAGTTGTTGTTGTTTTTTTCTGTTTCACCTTTAAAGCATAGGAATGTACAGATGGTCATCACAATTTTATTTAAATCTCAGATATATTATGTTGGGGCAGAGGGATTCAGTTAATTGAGGAAATACACAGTAATTATTAATAGCAAAGTGTAAAACATAATAGGCTAAATATTTTAAAGAGAAATAGGTGCTTGTTTTATATGAATACTCCACTCTTCAGGGATTTGACAAATACAGAGATTTATTTTACACGAACGAGTCACCAAATGGAGGCATGTTAAGATCATATATTACTGGTCAAATAGTAATGGTTTTATCTCCATTATCACACAAAGAGTACTGTTTTTCTCTTTGAAAAAAGTAAGTTTTTCTGCAGATTTCAGCATGAATACATTAAATAATCATTTTATACAAGTTCAGTAAAGCAACAAGTGGCTTATATTTTAGACATAATATTGCTTGTTTTTGCTCAATTTTGTCAACGAAAATCGTTCCAAACAAAGATCACAGCACTGTTTTGCATCTCTGAGCAATGGTGTTTACTTATTGAATGAATCAGCTTTTTGAACGAATCGGTTGATAAAAATGATTCAGTGATTCACTCATTAACACAGTGGCTGCGTCCGAAACTGCCTACTTCTCTACTATATAGTAGGCGAAAAGCAGTAGGCGAGCGAGTAAGTATGTCCGAAACCTCAGTATTCATAAAAGAGTAGTCGAGAAGTTCCCGGATGTCCTACTGCTTCTGTCCAGCTTCTTGAGTGCTCGTCGATGGATACTTTTCTATCCCAGGAGGCCACGCGAGAGGATACATCATAAAGAAGAAAAAGAGGATGCGTCATAATCGAACATGGCGGAAAATTTGGATGAGGGTGTTTACAAATGTACGTATTACAAACTAAAAACACGGTTCCTTATTTTAAATTCGCATTTGTTGAACTACTTTAGAGCAACTTCTGAAAGTCAGTCTCCCATCGACTGATATTGTATGAACAAGCCAGCAGGACAAACTTAACTAAAATCACCTTTTGTGTTCAGAAAAACAGAACAAAACAAGGATTGAACAGTGAGGCGAGTAAATAATGTCTGAATTTATGTTTGGATGAACTAACCCTTTAAACCCCCCAAATAGAAACTGTATGAAATATATGTAAGCATTTATATTATAGTAGTACCTTACATTTATTCATTTGTCAGACACTTTTATCCGAAGTGATTTACAGTGCTCTTATTACAGGGACCCCAATCCCCCTGCAGCTACCTGGAGTAAAGAGCCTTGCTGAAGGACACAGCGGTGGTGACGACTGCGGAGATCGAACCAGCAACCTTCTGCTCACCAGCTCAGTGCTTTAGCCCACTACACCACAAAAGTAATGAAGCTATGACAAAAATTAGCATGTAATTGTAAACATATGAAATGAAATGCTGACAACATTAATTGGGACACAACCAGTTGTGACGACTGCAGAGATTGAACCAGTAACCTGCTTTAGCCCACTACACAACAAATGTTTTACAGATAGTCATGGTCATGGAGAGCAGGCACACAGATGTTTGGAGCAGACACAGCAGCAGTCAGATTGTCCCGCACATGTTCTCCTGCTCTTGCCTAATGATTGTGTGGTTCAGGGGTGTCATCATGGTCTTCCTCATCCTCTCTGTGCACTCAGACAATAGCCTCGATGCCCCTTTCTCATCCATGACATTTTTCGAGTGTAAAATTAATAGTCTTCTTCAAAGGCAAGATCTTCTAGCAGCTGATCGACGTCTCTGTGCAGATATTACACATATTGCAAACACTGAGGAAAACTACTAGGTAGGGTTGTGGAGTTACTGATGCTATGAGGTGTTAGTGCACCTGTCGATCTTACGTTCTTTTATTATTATTACTGCAGAACTTATAATTGCATACAAGCTCGGAAAGATGCTAGTATCTTTAACAATGAACAATCATAATGACAAAAAGCAGAAAACATCAAATATAATGGGTTTGCATACATTATATGCACAGAAAAAAAAGGCACAATGACAAGGTTAAATATCTTTGAATAATAATAATATTCATATAATCAATGCCTCAAAATATTGCATTTGTTGTTGTTTATAAGCGGGAGGGATGAAATGAGAGAAATTCAGCAAGAAAAAGAGGAAAACAGGAGATTTAAGCCGGTTTTGCTTATGGATTAAAAATTTTGCACATAAAATAAAGTAACAACATATTCAAGAGATAACGATTTTGGGTTTTAGTAATAAATAATAATATATTTAAGGATTAAACTGTGGGTCATATTAGTAGGGTTAAAAATATAAAAATTTAAATCAACCCAAAATGTATTGGTTATACTACAATCACAATAAAAGGGCAGCTGTTTCTTCAACAAGACCACAAAATGAGGAAATTTCATAAACATCAAAATATTTACAGAGAGATCAATTAAACCTGTGGCTCGTATCTGTTGCGCTTGTTATAACGTCGTAGATCACATGATAGTCATCATGGCGGATGATGCCTGGATCACATTCATACTCAACGAGATTTGGCTGTAGAGTATCTACTCTTTTAGCGCTCGTTAAGTAAGTACTTAATGAAATTAAGTACCTACTCATTGAGTAGGCGGTTTCGGACGCAGCCAGTCAAATGCTCTTCTGAATGAATCAGTCGTTTGAATGAATCGGTTGAATCTCAATGACTGAACAGTCACTTGCTGTCACCTACAGGCGGTTTTAAATTCACATTTCGACTATTTTTTTCATGTTTTAAATGATTTCAAATATCAGTATTCAACATTTTATGTTAAAAAGAAAACATTGGGCCTATTTATGAATCTGTACGTGCAGTTTAAATGCATCCATGTCCCCTCTGAGATACATAAACTGTGTAAATACATCTAAATGCTATTTCAGATGCAGATTCCAGAAATGTTTTCTAATGTTGGAATGAAAGACACTAAGTACTTTCTGGTAAGATATCTGCACTTTTACTTGAGTATGGCTTTTAGGTACTTTATACACCACTGGGTGTCAGTTATGTTTAGCAGGGAATAAAGACACACTTTGGCTGTTATCCTTTAAAAACTCATGCTGTAGCATTCAAAAAAGAAGAGATTTCTTATAAGAGTGAAATATTGTGTGATAAATAAATTGAAGGAATGATTGTGATTTATTGAAAAAGTGTAACTGGTGAATCTGTGTTGTTTAAGAACAAAAGCACTTGTCTTTTTTCACCAATCCACCAATAAAATATGTTTTAATGATTATTGAAAAACAAGAAATAATAATAAGCATATATATTAACCTACAGTCAATGACAGAATACAATAATTGCGGCAGTTCGTTGTTTTGGGGTTCAAGTTATCTTAACACATTTCTTTAATTTACGCTAAAAATTGCAAACTACATAACCTTCATGAAGCTGGTTCCTTGTTTTCTTGAGATGCTGGAAAATAAATATCAAATGACTTATACTGTAAGTATTTAAATATAAACCTATGGTCATAAGACATTAGCAAAACTAAATATAGAAAAATAACATTATTTAAAAAAAAACATTTAATACAAAGTACTTACTAGAAGCAGCAGAATAATTCTGCTTTGATGAAGACACTGTATAATATAATAAGCTGCAGAATTATTTATGGAAATTAAGTACATGATATAAATTAAATACAATTATAAATTAAAATATATTTTGTCGGCATGGACATGGGATGAATGACTCCCCAGAATTGGCCCAAATACACTGGCCCGAGTCCGACTGCCAAAACTGCCGGCATTGGGCCAAAATCACGCAGACAAGAATTGAAACACTTAGCCGGTACTGGCCCGAGTCTGGGTACTGAAACTGAGCTGACACCACTGGCATTGGGCCACTCGTCGGTGTGATTGTGGCCCAATGCTGGTGGTGTTGGCCCAGTTTCAGTACCCAGACTCGGGCCAGTACTGGCTAAGAGTACCATTTTGTTTGGTGTGATTTATATATACTTATATATATATATATATATTCTTACACTTACTCATACAGAATTACAACTTCTAAAATATGTGTATTAAAGACTCCTTCCAGTTTTGATATAAAACCAGAGCTTTGAATAATTTGTTTTTCCACAAAATGACATTGTTACCTTAAAATCCTTAAGATGGCATCTACTTCCAACTAAAATAAAATACATATTTTACAGTGTCCTTGTTAAGTCTACATGTACTTATGCATGTCAACTACAGTAAATATGTAACCTTTACAAAGATTAAGGGTTTGGCCCTTACACCATTTCTTTTCATGGCATCCCCACCGACCCCATGAATTACCCCATAACATCCATATATGCCGGGTCTGCATGGCCATATCTCAGCCAAAATCAGACCAGCCCTTATGGTCCGTAATCGGGCCAAATGTGGCTAAATGTGCCGTGTCTCAGTGCAAATCGGGCCAGATCTGCACATCCAAAGCCTAGCCAAATCTGGCAACCATTACTGGGCCGGAGCTGGCTCACATTTGGTGAGCCGCTGCCAGAACACAGCCGAGTGAGCCGACACTCAGCTGCAATTGGCCCGATTGCGCTGGCTACCTGGGACCTCATTACCTAAAGTGACGTCCAGTATGTTTTCCAGACTGAGGTGTGTGGCAGAGCAGGTGTATTTGTGTTTCTCTGCTCTGTTGATCTCCAGACTCTTCCTCATCTGGTACGTCCCGGCCGTCACCATTGGGCAGCAGATCTCCTCCAGTGATTTCATGATCAGATACAGGCTGCCCGTCTCTGAACAGGGTCAGGTTTATGTGACGAGGGAAAAAATCCTGCTGCCAAACAACTCACACGAGATCATCCAAAGTCTGTGTTTGTATTCTGGATGAGCCTGACTCTGGGTTTCACTGGGGAACGGATGGCAGAGAAAAATAATGAAGGGAATTTTATCTATTTAATTTTTTTTTTAAATGTGTGCTTATATACTGTAGACTGCTTTATACCTTTTCTGTTTACTTGTGTTTCTCTATTTTTAAGGTAACTTTTTAAGGTTTTTATGCAGGCTGGGTAATATAATGTCTCAAGATGCCACATGGATAATTCTAGATAGGGTTTTATTTATTGTACTGTATAATTTAATGAACCCTGATATGTGAATTCGCCATCAAAAAAGTGCAGTTCATCAGTTGTAGAGCCTCTAAAAGCCCTTTTGTTGATCATTTGCCCAGGTTTATTATCCCTCTGTTCACAAAGACACATCACTTGATAAACTACATGACCTGTTAGAAAAGAAAGTGATATTTCAACACATTCAGC